CCTAAGGAATTCTATTTTAAAAAAAAAAGCTTTTGAATTACTACAATACTCGATCATTATCTGTAAACAACAGATGAAAATGATTTTTTATAACTAAATAAAATCTGTCAGGACTAGATAAAACCTATCTTTTTTATGAATTGAAGAATTTTTTTCGTTAATAATAAGAATCTTTTTATTATTAGTCTTTTACATCATCAATATCTTAAAATTAGTTCCTCAAATAATTAAAATTGCTACTAAGTCATTAATATTTTAAAATTTTAAACTTCATTGTTCCTTTATAAAGGCAAAATGTTAAAAAAACAAGTTTTATGCATGGAAATATCTGAAAAATTTTAATATATTATTGTAATCATAAACATTCTGACGACTATGTTGTAGTAAATAAATAAACCTAAAATACCAATTAAGATATTTGACCATATGCACTGCACGCACATTCCATCTAGTAACTATAATATTTTGAAATTTATTTAAAAAGATATGATTTTATTTTATTTTACATTTGGGACAACATTTTCTCATTGAAAATTATAATTTTGCAAACATAACACTGTTCTGCCTCCTGAGCTGGCGTCTAAATGCAGCTTGAATTCAAGAGGAGTGCATGTTAGAGAGAGGGTGTGTTTTTTTTTTTTACTGAGCAGGGAAACCCGATCAGTTCCCCCAACTTAAACTCTTTTTGGAGTCCGCCAACGGCCCTAGTTTGAATCCCTCAGGCTTCCTACCTCTGAAAAGAGATACCCTTGCTACCAGGGGCTCATCCCACACATGAATGGGCAAACAGCATGGGGCCCGAATGGGCACGAACTGGTTAGTATACAACGGGCTGGGTTAAATGACCAGTAAAACCCCGGGTTTCTGTCCTCACCCTTAAACCCACAGAAAGCAGGTGAATGCGAAAGCGGGGATTTGAACCCCTGACCAACTAGGGAGATCTCCTCCCTCACTCTTCGTGGCGCTAGCCAGAAGTCCCACCTGTGGGTGGTTTTATTTTGTTTTTTATTAGCAGAACACGGTCAATTTTGAACCACGACATTTCTCAATTAACAATTTTGGTTTTTAAATTTAAAAATCACTGGAAATTTTGATGTTGCCTTGTTTAGAATCGACATCATTAAGTTGGAGACCCGATTTATGTGTCATTGAAAGTAATTTTACAAATGCTAATATTTGGAGTATAAATTTGTAAATATAGAAAATGTAAGGTTATATATGCAAAGTATCTTGTTTTTATTAGAGGATGCGGCAGATGAAATGGAAAAATTCCTACACACTCATAGAGTACGAACTTGGCATACTCCACTCCAAAAAATAAATAAATAAATAAAAAGGGTAGGTGTCGTGCAAAAACTTCAATCATTCATCCATCCCATTTTAATACCATTAATGTATTTATAAATAAGAGTTTTTGCCTTTGAACCAAAAATTTTACCGCAACTTATTTAAAAAGCTATCCACTTCCATAAACATCAGTACACCCGAGAAATCCCCTTTCACTTATTTTTCAACCCACTCTGCATAAATAAGAGTTTAACTGCATACTATGCTTGACAAAGAAATATATTCCAAAAATTACCCTTCCTTAATTATAGCCCCTGCTTCTGAGGGAAGACCGGTATCAGTCTCATTCTTTGGAAAAAATTACCCTTCCTTAATTATAGCCCCTGCTTCTGAGGGAAGACCGGTATCAGTCTCATTCTTTGGAAAACCCTAACCCACTTCATTGATTATCTCTAACCTCCTTTACCGACACAGCTGAGTTTGTCGAAGTCAAGGAGGTCTCCGACAAGGCACCAGACCCTTACGTACTCCAGGGACTTTGCACATGCTACTTTGCTCGATCATTGTTCGCTACAGAGTTCCTTCCAAGCCCCTGTACTTGGACTCCGTACTAGAACGAGAGACAACTGCTTGACGCTTACTACGCCAAGAGATAATAGATGGACCCAAAAAATACAAAATCCAGTAGTGGAGTATCGAGTGTCTGCATCATCAGCCCATCTAGCATCAGAATATGCACGAAGAGACAAAGAAGAGTTTGAGGGGGAAATAATGATTGGTTTATAGTGCCACGAAGATATCGAAGAACCCGAATGAGGGCAGCATAGTGACTAGAAGTCGGGCTACTATCAAACTGGCTCAAGATGTGTAGTGCATAAGTCATATTTGGACGTGTTGTTGAAAGATAAACCAATGCTCTAACAAGTTCCCGATATCGAGTAGGCTAAGGTAAAGGATCACCATCATCATGTCGAAGCTTCAAGTTCATTTCCATCGGTGTGGAGAGAGGATTGATAGCAATGGAAGGATCACTGAGAGTAGCACGCTCAAGAATATTTGAAATGTACTTCTGCTGAGAGAGAAAATAGCCACGAGAGGAGGAAGCAACCTCAATACCCAAGAAGTAACGAAGGAATCCAAGATCCTTCATCTCAAATTAACTCGTAAGATGTTGCTTTAAGGAGGTAATGGCAGAGGAATCACTCCTAGTAATTATCATGTCATCAACATAAAGTAATAGAATGACTGTACCGGAGGCTGAGGACTGATAAAATAGAGCATAATCAGCTAGGCTTTCACTAAAACCAATAGAAAGAATAGATTGTCAGAAACACTCA